AGGGGCTGTCAACTTGAGTATTTTCGATTCATCTACCCGACTTGAAAAGGTGTATTTTGTATTTTTTGTACATATGTATTTTTAAGTTTTGTGTACGTTTGTATTAACGTGCATTAAGTTAATTATGAAATGTATTTTTACAAAGTACAAAGTATTTTTGAGTATTTTTATAATGGTATTTTAGTTTCAGCGTGTACGCATTTACGTATTTTGTTGTGTATTTATTCAGCTGATTTATGAACTTGATCGCCCCTCGGTCAGATACTACTTCCTCTTCCTTTTTCATAGAACATTGTATCAACAAGTCCGAACAATAAACACGCGTTTTTGTTTATCTCTAAAAACGAACCGGTCTTTTTCCGATCCGAAATCTATTTCCGCCCATAGTCCCAACCTCGAGTGTTACAACAATTTGTGGTTATGACCATGGATGGCCCAAATGCTGAATACACTTCATAATTATCTTTTAAAGAACACTAGAAACCATTTTTAAAAAAAAGAAGATCTGTAAAACTAGTTTATCAAATTGACCGCAGAACCGCCGAACAAAATTATGAAAGATTTTGAACGTTAATAACTCAGCTGCCCCTGGACCAATTTCAATAATTTTATCACCAATCAATCAGAAATATTCCTACGTAACTTTAAGACTATCATTTTTTTTAAATGTCTCTATTGAAAAATGCACGTATGTGCAACTTTTGCTATGATAATTAAAATTATCACCGAGTGCTGCGAAAAGCGATTTCCCTAAGTTGAATTGCATTAGGTCTCACGCAGAGATGCCAGATTTACTGAAAACTCCGTAGATCTACGGATTTTATAAATTTTTGCGGAAATACGGATCCGTAGGCAAAATCTACGGAATTCGGTACAGTTTCAACGGACATTTTTCTTTAGTGTACCTCTACCTTCAGAATCGAATTTTACAATCTAGAGTATAATCTGATTCTGAAGGAAAAGAAGTAAAAAGTAAAATACACCCCTGCAACTTGTCAACCGTTTTCTTGCACACTTATCCGCTTTTTGATAGAATAAATGGCGTTGACGGCGACTCTGTAGCTCTTCCCTCCTATGAAATATACCCGTAAGCAAACGTCAGACTGTGCGTGAAACATGGCGACCTTCGTATTATCTCTTCACTCCGCCGGACTTTGGAGAACACAAACTGCCGTCGGGACAGGTACTACTATACTTTGGTATTCGAGATGAAAACGCTCCCCGCCATCGTGGAGTTGGTCTCCTACTTAGCGTCCAGGCAAGTGCTGCATTCATCAAGTGGGAGCCTGTTATTGAGAGGATAATCGTTGCCAGATTTAGAACACGGGTTCGTAACCTTACCATAATCCAATGTTATGCGCCAACCGATGCTGCCGAGCTACAGGACAAGGAGAATTTTTACAGCCAACTGAATGCCATCGTGGATAAGGTTCCAAAGGGTGACATCAAGATCTACACTGGCGACTTCAATGCGAAGATCGGCTCCGACAACACGGACTATGAGCGTGTCATGGGACGCCATGGTCTCGGCGAAATGAGCAGAATTTTGTGGCAATAACGACATGGTGATCGGGGGCTTCCTCCAACGGCCAGTGCACAAAGTCACGTGGGTTTCCCGCGATGGACATACCGAAAATCAGATTGACCACATCTGCATCAGCCGAAAATGGAGACGGAGCCTTCTTGATGTCCGGAATAAACGCAGCGCCAACATCGCGTCTGACCATCACCTTTTAATCGGCGAAATCCGCCTACGCATGGTGCGGATCCAGCGACGGGAGGAAAGACTCGGGCGGCGGTTCAACACACGCTGACTTGAAAATCCAGCGGTAAAAAGGTCTTTTGTTGAAGAACTTGAGACTCGAGCTGCGGACGTTCCAGAAGGTTGCAGCGTAGAAGAACAATAGACGGCCATCAAGAATGCCTTTATAGAAACAAGCGAGAACAACTTAGGTGAGCTGCGCACCCAGAGGAAAGAGTGGATCACAGATGAAACCTGGCGGAAGATTGAGGAGCGTAGAGAAGCAAAAGCCGCGATAGAGCGGGCGAGAACCAGAGGAGCCAATAACGAAGCCCGTCAACGGTACTCGGCTCTAGAGAAGGAAGTCAAGCGCTCTTGCAGCTGGAACAAGCGAGCGTGAGTGAACTCCCTGGCCGACGAAGGGGAGAAAGCCGCAAACACTGGTGATATACGCCTCCTCTACGATATTTCACGACGCCTGAGTGGAGCAAGGATGAACCCGAGGATGCCAGTGAAGGACACGACTGGACAATTGCTTACCGACCCCACTGACCAGCTGAAACGCTGGTTTGAGCACTTCGAACAACTTCTTCAAGTTTCGACGGCCAACCAGCCATCAACATCTCCGTATGATCCGCCTAGGGTGCGGCGCATCACTCGCGTCAATTCCGAGATCCCATCACTGAAGGAGATTGAAGCAGCTATCCGAAGCATGAAATCCAACAAGGCTCCAGGGGTCAATCGCATATCAGCAGAGATGCTCAAAGCTGACCCCATGCTATCCGCACAAATGTTGCATTAACTATTCTGTAATATCTGGGACACCGCGATTTTTCCAGCCGACTGGATGCAGAGCATCTTAGTGAAGGTCCCAAAGAAGGGGGATCTGACTGTGTATTGTTCTCAAAGTTCTGTGCAAAGTTATCCTGAATCGGATACATGAGAAGATCGACGCTATTCTCCGGCGGCAGCAGGCAGGATTCCGTGCCGGAAGATCTTGTGTGGACCGTATTGTCACGCTCCGCATCATCCGGGAGCAGGTCAATGAATTCCAAGAGTCCCTTTATTTGGTATTCATTGAGTACGAAAAAGCATTCGACCGACTCAAGAGAATCTGTGGGGCACCCTGAGACGCAAGGGAGTCCTGGATAGAATCGTCAACATCATCGAAGCGCAGTATCAGGCTTTCACGTGCAGAGTTCTGCATAACGGAGCCTTGTCCGACCCTATCCGGGTAGTCGCTGGTGTGAGACAAGGATGTATACTATCACCACTACTGTTTCTCATCGTAATCGACGAGATCATAGTAGGCGCAATTGACCGTGTACCGAACCGTGGGCTGCTTTGGCAGCCTATCACCATGGAGCATCTCAACGACTTCGATTTGGCTGATGATGTTGCTCTACTAGCACAACGGCGCTCTGATATGCAGAGTAAGCTCAATGACCTAGCCGAACGCTCCTCTGCGGCGGATCTCACCATCAACGTCAGCAAGACCAAATCGTTGGATATCAACACGGGCAGCCCTTTCAACTTTACGGTAGCGGGGCAAGCAGTGGAGAAGGACGAAAGTTTCCAATATCTTGGCAGCCAAATAGCGTTGGACGGCGGGACCAAGAGCGACATAGGTGCACGAATCAAGACGGCTAGGGCTGCCTTTGCGAGTTTACGAAACGTATGGAGATCCAACCAGATAAGTCAACGCAGAAAAAAACGGAATTTTCAACTCGAACGTGAAATCTGTGTTGTTATACGCCAGCGAGACGTGGTGTGTATCAGCGGAGAACACTCAAAAGCTGCAGGTCTTAATCAACCGATGCCTGCGGTATATAATTCGTGCCTGGTGGCCTCACAACTGGATCTCGAATGCCGAGCTCCATCGTCGATGTCATCAGAAGCCGATAGCAACAGTAATTCGAGAGCGATAGTGAAGGTGGGTCGGCCACACACTTCGAAGGGGCGGAAACGAAATCTGCAAGCAAGCGCTGGATTGGAATCCGGCAGGACATCGCAGCAAAGGCAGACCCAGGGGCTCATGGCGGTGGAGCCTCAATAAGGAAATTAAGCAAGTCGATAGGAATCTGACCTGGGCCCAGGTCAAGGCAAAAGCGAGCAGCCGCCCAGGATGGAAGTCTTTCACGTTGGCTCTTTGCACCGCTGGTGGTGCACAGGACCCTTAAGTAAGTAAGTAAAGTAGTTGGTAGTACCGCCATCTGTGGCGCGCATAGTCAATTTCTTTGCGTTTGACGTTTACACACTACCGCCACCTTTTCATCGTACTACCCACCACAGTGTACTCAACAGATGGCGGTAATGTTTTTTTTTTTGTTTATTAATTTATTTGATAAGGCTCAACCGAATTAACTTTACAGAGCCGAGGATTCTTGGTCACTATACAATACATCTTAAAACTATAGTCAAAAGGTACAACACAATAAACACTTTATCTTCCGTTATCCAAAAAGCCTCCTCCATCAGAACTGGAGCCGCTTCCAGTAGTTTCATTGTATGGCAAATTGTTGTACGCCAACGAGGGTCAGAGCGCGTCCATTGCAACAATGGACGCAAAACGTGGTCAGCACTCACACACTCATCACGAAACGGTTGCTTTCCAAAGTCGACGACGCATCGACCGAAAGAACTGCTGATGAAGAACAATGAGGAGGACCACACAATGGTTGCTGCCGAGAAAACAGACGATCGCGTAGCACACATCGAGAGTGGCCTGCTTTTGTCGACAGCCGAGTGAATACTGGCAGTAATGTTTTAGCGACGATGTTTTACATTGAAAAATATTCAATGTGTTATGTCTGTTTGTCTGTGATTAAATCTTAGCACTCGTTCTTCGTAATTGCCTTCTCTTTCAGCGATGACTTCGTTCGTCAAACTAAGTTCCATAAAGCACAAAAGGTCGGCGCCACCGGGATGTTCTGAGGCCTAACATCTATGATCACGCCTTCCTTCGAAAGGGAAGTAAAGCCGTTGGTCCCAGTTCATAAGTTGATGGGTCGATAGGTAGGGTCCAGGTGTGGGAGCTGCCTCCCTGACGTCAGTAGCATTAGTGCTCAGCACGGAAAACAAGATCGACGGCAAACTAATCAAGGAAAAAAAAAGTCAAAATGAGCTCTGAATAAAAGGTTATCATAGCCTCTGAAATGAAAAACTTAACCAGAAAAAAATCTTAGCAGCCCTTACATTAAAATCTAAACCCCCCTCACCTACCACGTCAGCTACATTAATTCCATCTATTTCCCAACAGTAACACAAAATGACCGTCCCTACCGAACCACAGCAGACAGCCGTCGTCAGCCGCTTGGCCAACAGCCAAAAGAACGGAGTCCACACGAGAGGTCAAGTCAACCAGGCGTACGAATTAAATGACGTCGAACACGGCGCCAACGGCTCACCACCGGATGGCAAGGCAGCAAATGACTCCCAGCCAGATGGCGGTGGAGGTGGTGGACATGGCATCGATACCGCCCATCCCACCAACTATTTGGAGACCATCATGCACATCTTCAAAGGCAACGTCGGTCCCGGCCTGTACGCTATGGGCCAAGCATTCTACAACGGAGGCATCATCGTGTCACCGATACTGACGGTCCTTCTCGGCATCGCGTGCATCCACATTCAACATCAGCTGGTAAGTAAACAAATCGTACATTGTATCTCAGAGATATGCCATGCATGCGGCTGCTATTTACAACGCCAGACAAAAACGATGGCCTCTGTCAATTAGTATCATTTTTGAATTTGTGTCCCAATCCGTTTTCAGCTGAACGCTGCAAAGAAGATCAGATGCAAATTACCCGATTCGACCAAATATCCAGATTTTGCTGAAACGGTCGAACTATGCTTCGAGCATGGCCCAGTGAAGTTTCGACGATGGAGCCGACCGATGCGACTTGCCGTCAACGTGTTCATTTGCGTTACCCAGTTTGGATTCTGTACGGTGTACTTCGGATTCATCAGTAATAATTTAAAACAAGTAAGATTTCTTATGAACTTATGATTGACTGACAGAACTAATACCGCCTGGGTCATTCCAGATCTACGACTTCTACGGCATCCACCTGGATATCCGGCTGCACATGCTCATCATCCTGGTGCCGATCCTGTTGCCTGCACTGATCCGCAACTTCAAATACCTCGCATGGTGTATGACACTGGCCAACGTCGGCATGGTCCTTGGTATTTGCCTCACAGCGTACTACGCCGTCCAGGATCTTCCGTCGATCACCGAACGTGACTATTTTTCTAGCTGGCGCCAGTTACCACTCTACTTTGGCACTGCCATTTTCGCTTTCGAAGGAATCGCTCTGGTGCTTCCACTGCAGAATGCTATGAAGAACCCCGAGGACTTTGGGCGGCCTCTGGGTGTGCTCAACGTAGGGATGGGCATTGTCACGTTCATCTTTACCGGACTGGGCTTCGTTGGCTATCTCAAATGGGGTGACGGAGTGAAGAGTAGCTTGACACTCAACTTACCACAGGATGAAGTGCTCGCACAGAGTGTGAAAGTTATGGTTTCCTTTGGAATTTTACTCGGGTACGCACTTCAGTTCTTCATTGCCATACAGATCATGCTACCTACGGTGCTGAAGAAAGTCAGCTTAGGAAAGGACCATCCGGTGCTGGTGGAATTGGGCTTCAGAACATTTATGGTTCTGATCACATGTATGTAGCGAAAAAAAAATCACTTATGACAACACTGATTACAACGTTTACTTTCTTCGTCATTGCAGTCGCCATCGCAGAGAGTATTCTCAATGTTGGAGCGCTAATCTCACTGATTGGAGCATTGTGCTCCACGGCACTGGCCTTGGTATTTCCACCGGTCCTGGAACTGATCCTGGGACTGGCTGAGAGCGAGTGCCCATCCTCTGAGGGAACATCAACCGATGCACAACCAACTAGGATGAGTATATTTGTTTGGGTAAAGAATATCTTGATTTTGGTGCTAGCATTGTTTATCTTCATTACTGGAACGGTCGAAAGTTTGGATGCAATTCGGCATTTGGAGTAATTTTGTGATATAAATTTTTAAGAAACCCAAGATAACCTCATTTTGAAAGAAGGCACTTAACCGTTCACGTCAAACCTCGTGCCCGAGATTACGCACGGGACGCATCATCGGGTAACAGATAGCGACAATTCATCGGACAAAGATTATCGATGAAGTGTGGGAAGTGTGCTGCAGAGAAATACGTCAACAAGCATCGTATATAGACTATCTGTTGCAAAGATAAGGTAATAACAACAGTGACGATCTTTTCATAAAACGTGTACTGCTATCATAACGCACAGATGTGAACAAGCTTTCATTTGTTCAGTACGTGCCTTTATATCCTACCAAATTACCAAATTGAGGCTACAGTTTTGTTATCACCAAGATTCGTTTTTCACGTTATTATAAAAGTAAGTAAATGATGGCCCTTATTACTAGTGTGACTTCACGGTGAAAACAAAGTGAAGTGACCAGTTGTCACTCACGATGAAGTGATTGCCGTGTAAATCAAATGGAAATCACTTCACCGTGAGTGACAAGTTTTCACTTCACCGTGAAGTGACATCGGTAATAAGGACCGATGACTTTGAAACATAGGCGTCGATAAAACAGCCCCCACCCCCATAAAAAAAGGAACAAACATAATTTTCATATCATTATTGTTTTGATACACTCAGATCATAATTTTTTTGATACACTCCAACCTAGTTTTACGACAATTATAGGGAGCCGTAACAAGAATTTACAGTTGAATATTTGAATACCCTTTTCATGAAATAAAAGGACTAGATATCGCAATATCGATTTCAAATATTCAATAAAGTTGGAATATGGCTCTCCAGTGTAGCCATGCCATTCTGCCATTAGAAGGCAACACTGATCGAGATAAATCAAATAGAGCTCAACATTTCGCTATCGTTTCATGATAGCGACTTCAAATTTTAGCACAATTAGTCTATAATCCAAGATTTTCATAACTGATTTTAAATTCTGCCGTAAGATGGCAACACTGCTCAAGTAGAATTAAAAAGAGATTAATATCACAATTAGTCTATAATCCAAGATTTTCATAACTGATTCTAAATTCTGCCGTAAGATGGCAACACTGCTCAAGTAGAATTAAAAAGAGATTAATATCACAATTAGTCTATAATCCAAGATTTTCATAACTGATTCTAAATTCTGCCGTAAGATGGCAACACTGCTCAAGTAGAATTAAGAAGAGATTAATATCTTGGCACCATATCAAGATAAAAATGTTCAGGAAGAGTGAAATATGATTCCAAGCTCATTCAGGATTCTCGTCAATGATTTTAAATTCTACCATGAGTTGGCAACGGCTCTCTCATATGAGTGCAGAGAGTTGCCATGAATGATTCTTAACTGTACCAAGGGCAGCACTGCTCTAGTAGAATCCAATATATTGAGCTATCGGTATTGTTTCACGGTCGCGACTTTGAATGTTCAGCAAAGTTGAAGTATGAGTCGAGAGTCATCCAGATGTTGCATACATGACTCGGAATTCTACTGTGATATTGCAGCACTGCTCGAAAAAATTTAAATAATGCTCAATATTTCAGTATCGTTTCAAAACAGCGACTTCAAATGTTCAACAAAATTGGAGTATGAGTCAGGTGCCGCCCAGGGTAAACTCTAAGGACACTGAATCCTACTGGCAACACTGCTCGAGTAGAATTAAGGATAGCTTAATTTCTGAAGAATGTTTCAAGATAGGGATGCTTAAAAATTGGAAAGTTGGCAGCACTGGTTGTAACTAAACGAATGCTTTGTTCAGCCTACAGAGCTATAACAACCGGTGAAAACTAACGATTTGGCTCACTACTTGACTAGCCTATTGGTCCCAAGCAAATCGATTAACGTACCCCGTCCTAGTTGAAATTATAGTGCTACATTATGTTTGTTTTGATTCGCTATGAAAGTTTGACAGATAAAATGAGGGGTTCACGGATTTTCCTATGTTTCGAGGGGTGCATCGATTAGCTTGGGACTGAAGAGAGTACCAGAGCTGTGCCAAAAAGTTGAGCATGTTTTTTCGGGACCTTCTGGTCTTCGAGTTACCTCTACGGTTATAACATGTTATAACTGCTCAGTCTGGCCACCATTTAAAAAACTCAATATCTCAGCATCGCTTCATGATAGGACATCGAATATAGACTAACATTAGAAAAGGGCGGAATTCCAAAAGAAAATGAGAAAACCACTTCCGAAATTTGATAACCAAAAAGTAGAAGGGTCTGTGCCTAGGGGCACGAACGGAAGCTTGACGTAGGACCGCTAGTAGTGGACGTTATAAATGTGAAGAGCATTTAGTTCTTTTAATTGATCAATTATCTATTATCTCAACTCTTTCCGTTTTTGAATTGTAGGCGTACCAAATTTGTAGAAATCTTTTTCAAAGAGAAAGTTGATTAAGAGAATCAATCAAAATCACTTGCACCCCTGCTTCCAAGTTTGGTCCCAAGATTACAACTCTGGAGAGCATTTTGTGTGGTCGTTGGGGGCTTGTGGTTCTGAATATGGACAAACAAGCACAGATAAATTCTATTCCAACTCTTTACTGATGTAAGCTTGATGGCCCTGAAAAGGGCCGTTTTATTGAAGACGACATCCATGGCCACTTACGCTTGGCGTGTTTAGGGTAGGTGACAGCATCACGGACCTCATTTTCCAGGAACACCTTCAGCACACCTCGTAGATCAGACCGGAGATACGTTTGACACCACCACGGCGAGCCAGACGACCGATGGCGGTTATGTCGAAGAACTTTGCGATGACGCTTGGCGCCTCCTTTACCAGACCTTTTCCTCCTTTGCCACGACCAGTCAATTGTTGCTTGTTAGGTGTGAAGGAGTGGACTAGCCACCACCTTCCTACTGCTGCTATTGTTGTTCACCTCGCCGTCCGAAGCGAAAATGAGCTAATGCCATACAGCAGCGCTCGTTTAAATCTTTTCAGGTTAAAGCAGAATGATGTGCAACCAAGTGGTATAAAAGCTACAAAGACTCCTCCCATTATGAATAGTTTGCTATCAATTAGCGACACTGGCTCTTTTCCTTTTGCGTAAACGACGAATGAGAACGACCCAGATTTGAGTTTAGTTCACTTATAATCGCCAAAAGTGCAGGAACTCAGCGATGAGTAAATGTGTCTCATGGTTTCCTGTGGAAAACCTAAAAAATCTGGCAGAAAATGAGGAAATTGACGAAAATTTTATTCAGTCTCGGAGTAGTATCATTAGACTGAGTGAATCCAATCTTTACTTTTCTCAAATTCGGGAATTTTTCCCTGGAAAATCCTGGAAAAACCTGGGAAAACATGAGGCAAATTTATTCATCGCTGAGTTCCTGCACTTTATTTCTTATGATATCACCTTGAAAGATATCTGCGCCCGTGGTTAGCGTGATTACCTCTCACCCCAGCAGGCCTGGGTCCAATCTCAGTCGGTGCCACCGGCATGTTCTAAGGCATATTATCTCTGATCACGCCTTCCTTCGGAAAGGAAGTAAAGCCGTTGGTCCCCGGTTCATGAGTTGATGGGTCGACAGGTAGGGTCCAGGTGTGGGAGCTGCCTCCCTGGCGTCGGTAGCATTGGAGCTCAGTACGGAAAACAAATCTCGCGTCACTATTCAATAGGTCCTATCTACATTGATCGATTCTCTCCATCGACACTCTCTTTGGTAAATAACTCGGCTTCACAAATGTTTTCTTCGTCGAATTAGATGCTAGATTGTTGCTTCTTCCATCGAAAATATCCGGCCGTGCCAATTCAAAGTTGATCAAGGTTGATCAAAATAATTTGTACCCCTGCTTCCAGTTTGATTACATGAGCATTTTTTGTGGTCGTTGGTTCTGAATATGGACAAACAGGCAGATGAATTCTATTCCTACTCTTTACTGTAATAAGCTTGGTGGCCCTGAAAAGAGCCGTTTTGTTGCCAAAGATGGTGATGATTTAACCTCCGAAACCAAACAGAGTGCGTCTCTGTCACTTCAAAACGTTTGGCGTGCTTAGTGTAGGTGACAGCATCACGGATCTCATTTTTCAGGAACACCTTCAGCACACTTCGTAAATCAGACCGGAGATACGTCAGACACCGTCACGGCGAGCCAGACGACGGATGGTGGTTATCTCGAAGAATTTGCCTTTGGTTGGATATGGCGATGAGTGTGCAAAATATTACGCAATTCCATCCTCCCTATTCGCACGCGCCCGAGGGTCGGAGGCGAATGCCACTTCGACTTGTTTCGTCTACTTACTACTCTCTGACGACTGTGCTGGGGAAGCAGCATATGCATGTAGGTAATTGGTGGATTTGTTAGTTAATTCGACGATTTTGGACAATGCTGGACATTTACCAGTTTTTCAATAGTTTCTTGTTGAAAATCAACATTCAGAAGCATTTTAGCGATGCGTAACCATATTTCTGATCGATTGGTGATAAAATTATTGCAATTGGACCAGAGGCAGCTGAGTTAATAACGTTCAAAATCTTTCTTAATTTGTTACATGTTCCATTTTCGGTTTTCACAAAGTGTACCCCCAAATAGAAATCAAAGACGTAGTCCTACGTCAAAAATTTCGCGGCTTTTATTAGCTTGAAGTATAGTTAATAGTGTAATCTAACATCACAGACAAACAGACATAATCCTCGCAAGTTGTTCATCGAACAAGCATTTAACGGTCAATTCAAAAGTATCGTAGTTGGTAGTACCGCCACCTGTGGCGCGCATAATCAATTCCTTTGCGTTTGACGTTTACACACTACCGCCATCTGTTCAGCGTACTACCCACCACAGTGTACTCAACAGATGGCGGTAATGTTTTAGCGACGATGTTTTACATTGAGAAATATTCCATGTGTTATGTCTGTTTGTCTGTGCTAACATCATGCATCACTAGAGTTCAGTTGCAAACCCCTTCGCATACGGTTGTGTTGTAAGTTTGCTCTCTGTTTGTTTGCAAGCGTTCGCTTTCATAGTTTTGGGTGCTTTTTTTTTTGTTTATTAATTTATTTGATAAGG